TTTTCTTATTCAAATGCAAAAAGCGATAGTAGAAGGAGAAAAGGTAAAAAACATATTCTTTTGTACTTACTTGCAGCCTGCATTATTAACATGCCGATCACAATGAAATGCATTTTTGCTGTTCCAGTTGACGATAATTCAGTATATATATGTATGTATCTATTATTTATGTTATGTTTTATTTATGAATTTTAAGAAAACAATTTTTTTTTTTTTTGATTGAATCCGCAAAGAGATGTTTGTTTATTTAAATCTGAATAAAAAAAAAAAAAGAAAAATAAGTAAGAAAATTATATTCGGCCGCGAACGAATCTCTTATAACTATCACCGCTCTCCGTCGCCACGTCCCCAATATTTAATTCATAATTCAAAAAATTAACTTGTTGGACTCCACTCTCCACTCTCCACTCTCCTTTTATTTGATATGCAGTTTATTATGCTGCTAAGAAACAATGAATCCTCCACATCGTGGAGTCGATCATATATATTTTAGACAGTTAATGAATCTTCATATGAAAAATATAGAGAATAACTTTCAACATTCCGTCTTGCTTACCTTAAGCACATATATAGAGAGGAAATGTACAAAAAATAAAAGATAAAAAAAATGTAAACACGTATAGCTTTGTATAGGCGTGGCCGCTGTTTTAGGCAGTTTTAGCCAGTATAGGCTCAACAGAACCATACATACAATATAAATGCAAATTTTCATCGCCGGAAAAAAAAAAAACAGAAATGGTCTCAGATTATGTCTTACTCTGGTCGTGTTCTTTCAACGATTTGTGCCATTTTCAATAGCACCCAATCTGCGTGGAAGAACATCCTATGTCTCTGGCAAATTTGAAGCTGATAGCTTGATTTTTTGCGAGCAAAGATATTACACAGGCATATGGACAGACAGACAGACATGTTTAAATCGGTTTTGAACTTGATGCTAGTCGTTATATATATTTTATGAATTCTCTGCAGCTATCTTCTGGATGACCTTCCTATCCCTCATTCTTTGGTGATGGGTAAAAGAAAAAAACCCAATATATCCTTGAACAATGAAGAAATATTTTTCCTTTTTTTTTTTTTCGCTTATTATTATAGTTAAAGGCAACAAATTTGTTGATGAGTGACAGAATAATTTCATTATGTAAAAAGTGAACGAGATTCAGATGAAATAGTTCAACGGTTTAGCTTTTAAGTAAAAGCCAAAACAAACGTAATAAAAACATATACACACACACACAAGTTCTTATACGAGTTTATGGAGTTTAAATAATTTCTACATACAAAAAAATTATAACATAATTTTCAACGTGTAAGCGAAGTGTGGTTAAAACCGAAAGAACCGGTATTTGTTTGTTTAAGCACGCACCTGTAATCAACTGCGTGTTTGTGTGTGTGTGTGTATGTAAATGAATGCAAAGAAACGCAAGAAAAATTAAATCAATATCAATCACTCTCTCTTTTCGCGTTGCGGGTCTTTTTCTTTTTTTAAAGTAAAAGTAGATTCACTACAACTAGGACAGCAGCTACTATCGCTGTTACACAGCACTGCTATAGGCAGGTCATACAATAAGCATTAACCGTTAAACATAATAACGAACGATAACACAAACTCGTACACCCGTGCATACACTACGCAATACGGCGAGTAATAATTAATTCAAGCATTACGGTTTACACTGTTTTGTTGTAATTTTTTATTCTTTTCATATTTTTTTTTTTTTTTTTTTTTTTTTTTTTTTTTTTTTTTTTTTTTTTGAGTTCACACCACCTTAGTGCTTGTTATACAATTTTAATGAATTCATGATAAAGTAAACGCTTGACTTATTGACAATGTTTTCAGATAATATTTTTTGTTTGTTTGCTTGTTTGTTTTTTTTTTTTTTTTTTTGCTATTTTGTCTATATGCGGTTATAGGTTGTATACATATAATGTAAAAATTTTACTCTTTTCATATAATTTCCAATGTAAAGAAATTTCATTATTAATTCGTATGAAGCATAAAAATTCCATTGGTTTGGCTTGAGGCCTTGAAAGAGAAAGCAATGCCCCGAAGTTGCTTTCCAAAAGAGCGCTTTTTGTGTTTGCCTTGTAACCTGTATATGATTTGCGGGAGAAAACTGTTGCTCTGAGTAGCTGCTAAAGGAAGTATCCAAGAACGAGAAAATTTCTTCTCTTTCCCTAAACTTTATCTCGTTATTTAGCTAAGTAATCGAAAATGTACATTTTAACAAAAGGCACAATCTCGACACAAATAAGCCGCGGTGAAGATTTATGTTCACTGTAGAGGTACAAGAGACAGCATTTTTCTCTGAACAATTTATTTATTACTACTTATTAGTACTAGTGGCCGTTATGAGTAGCAAAGGTGTTCTAAGTTGAAGTGATGACGGTTTCGTGCACTCGAACAGAAAGACAAATTCTCGGAATCATTTCTATTCTTAGACAAACAAGTACCTTCCGTAATTTTTAATAAAGGAAATTCGGATAAAATATGGTCGAAGGAAATGAAGACGTTATACGATAAGTGTTCGGTACATTCCGCATGCTCTCGCAATGATTTCTTCTTAAAACAAGGCCTTTTGTGTACTTCTCTTCAGAAAATACAACAAGTTGAAACCGAGGGACCTTCAATGGCTACGAAGCAGACAATGATAATTGAAAATTCCTTAAAGCAGAATCACTGATATGATATCTAATATTATATTAGTTGTGCAATATTATGTGAGTCCTTATATAAGAAGCTGAAAAAAGAAAAGCCCCGCCTTTAACCAACGAGTAGCAAAGAATACAGGAGTCAATACTCTGACCCGTGTTTTTAAATCAATCGTGGCAGTACTTCCTTAGCTTAGATAAAACGCCCAACGACAGACATCCTATTACCAGCACTATAAAGACTATAACTGGTTGTTTTATTTCAGCAGATGAAGTATCATATTACACAGACTCCCTATAACTTCTGTTTACCGTTGCATGACTATCAAGTTAAATCGGGATTCAGGTTCCTTGGAAGTATTATGTTCGTTCTTTGTAAACAAAAAAGAAAATGCAAGAAAACAATTGGAATTAATTCAAGTACTAGTTAACTTTTTTCTGTTTCCTCGCAATGCTGTTGGCAATCTTAGTTTAAACATTTATACTTTTAATTATTACTATATACTCCCGAAGTTTATTTCTTTAAA